GTCGAATAGGAGAGAGGGACAAATGAAAAGACAGATTAAAAAGAATACAATGATGATCCGAAATAAAAATGTCCTCAGTACAAATAAAATCAATGTTTAAACCTAAAGTAAAAACAAGTGTGTGTCCCTTGGTGTGTGTGGGACCAGACACATGCTGAGTAAAATGAAAAGAATCCATGACGTTAAGGAAACTTCTGGCAAAGAGGTCAGAGTCATCATCAACGTGTATATTAAAATCCCCGACTATAACCAGTCTGGACAGCTTCAAAGTAAAATAAAAGTGTCAACACAATCAATGAATAATAGATGAGATGTTCTATGGTAAATGTTTTTGCATTGTTACGGAGATGTCATTGCACCTCAAAATTTAATATTGTGTCAATTTTGCATCATACAAAGTTAAAACCATGAACGTGCAGTTCAGACATAAGTCTGAGAAAATTTGTAATACATGTTACAAAATTTTTAGTATCTTCTGCAAAAATGTATTGGGTTAAAGTAAATATCTAGATAAAGTTGATTAATAGTGCAAATTCATGGTTTGCAAATCACTGTGACATTGTGTAACTTTTAACTGATCAAGACGGAATCAAATAAGTTAGAAAGGATATTTAAAGATGAAATATATGCTGCGATCACAATATTGCTTTAGCATGTCATCTTTTAGCATCCATATCATTTTCACATTCTATCAGTGATAGCCTTGAGGCGCTTTTTATTGTGACATATGGATCCTGCAATATTAGAGAACAAGCCCCAACTATCAGAAGGTCCCCTATGAGCATCAGTTAGAGACTTTGTGAAATAAGAACTCCTTTTTATTGACAGCATCTCCAGCAGCAGAAAGAAAAACAACTTAAAACTAGAGAGTGAGATTATACAAATGCTACTGGCATGCAATAGTTGCATATAATGGGGCTACAGATGTAAGGTACTTGCATTCATATAGCTCTTTTCTATTCTTATTGACCACTCAATATTTGGAATGGTAAATGGACCAGAGCACTCAAAGCACTTTATACAACATGCCACATTCACACGCATTCATCAGAGAGCAACTTAGGGTTGCTTAGGTTAGTGACTTGCCCAAGGATATTTGGCATACAGACTTGGGGGAGCCAGGGGTTGAACCACCAGCCAAAGAGAGCTCCCGAGCTACAACCACCCCAGTGGACTGCAAGTCAAGGTAAGAAGGTTCCTGGTTTGACCCTGGCTGGGGTCTTTCTGTGTAGCAGTGGTAGAACATTTTCTACCACCTTGCCACTCGAGAGGGAAGTACCCAGCCAACATGTATATATGGGCCCCACCTGGTTTTTGCGCGGGCTGGATGATGGGTATCATATGGGCATGGGCTCAAACTGGGCTTTTTGTATAGGGCCTACTTCGGTTTTTCACATTAAACCCATATGGGGAATCCCAAGTGGGCACTTTTAGTAGGTCCTAGCTGGGTCAAACATGGGAAACACTTAACTTGGTCCAAAATGGGAAACACACGTAGGACCCACTTGGGCTTTCCACCTAGGATAGACATGGGCTAACACAGTCATTTAAGGATAGGCTGTTGTTGTGTGCCCCAGGTGGGGCAGAGTGAGGTAATCAATATATGTTTTAGTATCGATGACACAGGTGGGGCCCACCTGGTCAAACGATATGGGTTACACATGGGCAAATGCAAGTCAGAACCTAAAAACATGCCTATGTGGGCCCCA